CATCGATCAGCTGCCTCTTGCACACCCCCCACTGGGGATGTGCCCGCAACCAAGGTACATGCCCTTGACCGGAATCAAACCTGGGACCTTTCAGTCCGCAGGCTAACGCTCTATCCACTGAGCTAAACCGGTTTCGGCTGCCCTCTCTTACTTTGATGTCAAAAGTTGTCTAGGCTTTTGCACAGCCCCAACTTCCTGTTACTTGACAGTAGCACCTTTCCCCTGAGCGGGCATACACACTCGCTTCCTATTCTCCCTTGACAGTAACTTCATAAAAATGTCACATTCTCAACATTAGGTTGCCGAAAGCATTTTGTTTTCGTCAGTGGGAATCTTTCTAGTCCTTACTCTATGCGCTTTATCAACATGTATATTCACACATAGTTTTACATATACAGTTATGTTTAGTTTATTTTTTTAATTTAAATGCCATAATATATGTATTTTCTCCCTTACTGTGAAATATTTGATATACAAGAAAAATGTATGTAATCTGCATAAATTATAAAGCACAGTAACAAACACCGTAATCACCAGCCGCTGAAGAAATGGGAGATCACCTGCAACATAAAGCCCCCGGTGTCCTCCCCTCACAGCACCTTCCCCCCACCCCAGGGCCATATCCTGAGTCTGGTGTGTTTTGTGTCCTTGCTGTTCTTTTTAGTTCTATCACATCATGTAGGTATTCCTAAACAGTATCACATTTGCTTTGGCCCTGGTTGGGTTTTCCTCTATAGAAGTTTTGCTTCTCTTTTATTAGATTTCTCCTTAGATATTTGATGCTGCAAAAATGGCATTTTGTGGGGTATGAACATATCACTTTTTAAAAAACATGTATTTCTTCATTGATTTAAGAGAGGAAGGGAGAGGGGGAGAGAGAGAGAATTATCAATGATAAGAGAGAATCACTGATTGGCCGCCTCCTGCATGCCCCACACTGGGGATTGAGCCTGAAACCCAAGGCATGTGCCCTTGACCAGAATCGAACCCGGACTCTGTAGTCCACAAGCCAACACACTGTCCACTGAGCCAAACCAGCTAGGCTGAGCAAATTGCTTTTGTTTATCTCATGACTTCTAAGTTAATCTTGTACTTTCCCAGCTCCAGACCTGGAATCAGCCATTTCTTGAAGGAGCTCTAGTTCCTTTTTAGTAGAGAATGGTGTTAAAATAAATAAATAAATAAATAAATAAATAAATAAATAAATAAATAAGAGATGGATGCTAGGTGTGTTGTTAGTGGGTTATTATGGACTGAGCTGTATCTCCCCAAAAAAGATATGTTGAGTCCTATCCCCAGTACCTCTGAATGTGACCTTATGAAAACAGGGTCTTTCCAGAAGCAATCAGTTGAGATCAGGTCATACTGGATTGAGGTGAACCCCAAATCCAATGTTTGATGTCCTTATGAAAAGGCCAGGTGAAGACACAGGGGGACAGAGAAAACACTGTGTGACAGCAGAGGCAGAGATTGGACTGATGTGTCTACAAGCCAGGGAACATCCAGGATCACTGATGCCCCGGCCTGTTTGGCTCAGTAGCTGGAGCATCAGCCCACGAACCAAGACTATCTTCTCAGTGAGGATTTACATGGCTGTCTGGTGGGGAAGTTGCTTCAGCTACCATTGTTCAGTTACCACCCAGGGCAAGTACCTTGGCTGCAGGCTCCTCCCGGGAGGGTGGGGCCAGGCTAACTCCTGACTCCATTTTGTACTGTGGGGCAGGGCGGCACTATCCTCCATTTTGTGTGACTGAACCCTGGCCCTCACCCAGCCAATCAGGGTCAGCCAAAGCAGTGACATCACCACCCCTATAAAACCCCTTGACCTGTTGAAGCCTGTGCTCTTAGGCCACGCCAATGTCCGAGTGAGTGGGACAGAGCCCATGCTGGCATGGAATTCAGGCTTTCTGCTATTGCATCGGACTTGGCTCCCTGGTGGTCCTTGGGGATCACGAAGTCTGCACGTCACACTCCCTAGCCTGGGCCCTGGTTGAGGCTCACGCAGAAGGCAACCAATCACCTCCAACACTGAGTCAGGGTGCCCCTGCGAGGGCCCCCCTCCCGTGCTGGGCTGGCCTGTGCTTGTGAAGGCCCACGTCCCGCCTGGTTCAGGGTTTGGGATCCGGAGAAGGGGCCGCACGCAAATGAAAGAGATGAGACAAGAAATAATAATTTGGAAATTGGGGGACCAGGCAGGAGCCCAGGAGGACTCTGCTTCGGCTCTGGACTTGCCATCCCTTTATTCAATTTGGGATACAACCTATAGCCCTTAGGCAGGCAAATTCCAGTATCAGACAGACTATCTTCTCAGTAAGGATTTACATGGCTGTCTGGTAGGGAAGTTGCTTCTGCTACCATTATCTCAACTAAGCAGGGGTGCCTAGCTCTGACCTTTGCCAGTGCTCAAAGGTCACCAGCCTTCCGGGCGCCTTGCCAGTGAAGACAATAGGCGGCTTCCCACATGCGCTGTACTTGTGTCCAAATTTTATATAAACAGCGTTCCAGATACTTTCTTCTACAATATGCTTTTCCCACTCAACCTTGTTTCTATGTTTATCCATATTAATGTATATAACTTCAGCTCATCCATTTTGTTTGCAGGGTGTGTTTTTTTAAATTGATTTCAGAAAGGAGAGAGAAGAACATCAATGATGGGAGAGATTCATTGATCGGCTGCCTCCTGCACACCCCACATGGGGAATCGAGCTTGCAACCCAGGCATGCGCCCTGACCAGGAATTGAACCGTGACCTCCAGGTTCTTAGGTTGTCACTCAGTCACTGAGCTATGCCCGGCCAGGCTGTTTGCAGGTTTTGCTATGACTTTCTTGTACTTGTCTCCTGGTGCACACACAGGCAAGTTTTTCTAGGGCATCTCCTTAGGGACAGAGTCACTGCACTCCAAGGTGTAGACATCATCACATTTCCTATTTAATGCAAAAATATTTCCCAAAGTGATCTCCTTTCCTCTCCTGGGCCTCACCAGTAGAGGTTCTATTACTCCATGTCTGAGCAACACCTGACATAGTTGGGTGATTTATATGGTCTGGTGCATTTTTCCATTATCTGCACAGTCAATACTGATTGCTAGTTGTCCACCCAAATCCACTCTTACTTCTTCCTTAGATCTTGTACAGTAATGGAGTAATAGCTGCATACACAGCAGCCACCAAGGCCACATTTCCGAGTAGAAATGGCCATGTGACCAAGGTCTTGCCATGAAACAAAATTGATGTGTGGTATTTCCAAGTGTGGGTCTTACGACATTGGACACAGCTCTCTTCCCTTCTTGCCAGTGGAGAGTCCCACGTGACAATGATCTTGCTTCAGCCACACAAATAATAATACTGATTTAGGGGATGGCAGAACAAGATGCAAGGAACCTGAGACCTAGGTGATCATTTGCAGCAGGACCACCCACTGCTCTGGATAAATAAACTTGGCCCAAAATCCACTGGACCATTGGGTTCCTTTGTTATAACAGCTTAGCCTTTACCTTAATATATTCTACCACCAGAACCACCAGAACCAATACCGAGTAGCTATGGGAGTCCTCAGGAGGCAAAGTCCCATATCATACCGTCAATGCCAATGAAAACTTGGCCTTAATCGATGCACCCACTTATCTAAATGTGGGTTTTTATAGAGCTCCAAAAATGTTAATTCTTCTCTCAGAATATTCCCAAGACAATTAATTATATGAGGAAAAATGGAGGGCTGCTTAACTGTGGGTTTTCTCCTCTTTCCCAACCTCCTTGGTGGTATTTGGTGAAGAAGCAGACTTTTAATGTGGGTATAGCATATTTTCAAAAAAGCAAAATAATTAGCTCACAAAATGGTTAAGTCAGCACTGTGCCCTTTTCTGATTTTGTTCTGGAGAGCTGGAAAATATTCTCCTGACTGTCTTTAATGTTAAGAAAAATGTAGGGCATGCTGACTGATGGTGGCAAGTTGGAATCCAAGAGATAATGAGGTAAGCCTAGTTATTCATCTTACCAGTTTTTAAAAAATGGTATAAAACCCTCTGCTACCAAAAATGATACTGTGTCATAAGTCACAGAATTTGGACAAATGAATTTTATGTATTTGAGGTAAAAACAGAAAAGCAAACATTTCCATAGGTGGGCAAGAGGCAGCTTGGAAAGCCCCTGGAGCTGAGTGCTACTCCTCTGCAAGTGCTACTCCTCTTTGCCAGGAGAGCAGTCCTGAGTGAGACTGATGACCACGCTGTCCTGGTCAGAGTTGGGGCAGGAGTACCAATGCACCTGTTGGTCAGGTGTGTTTATCTTTTCTTCCTTTTTCCCTGTCCCAGGGGCTAGGAAGTTACTTTTTATTTTTTTTAAATAATATTTTAAAATATTTTTATTGGTTTCAGAGAGGAAGGAGGAGGAAGAGAGAGATAGAAACATTGATGAGAGAGAATCATTAATCGGCTGCCTTGTACAAGTCCCCCACTGGGGATCAAGCTCACAACCCACGCATGTTCCCTGGACCGGAATCGAACCTGGGACCTTTCAGTTTGCAGGCCAACGCTCTATTCACTGACCCAAACCGGCTAGGTCTAAGAAGTTACTTTTTAGATGGGAGAAAATAAGACCTAAACCTTCAGTAATATGAAATGCTATTTGAGTCTATATCCTATTATATCTATTTTGGATTATCCTAACCGAATAATTCAGGAGCAAACAAGGGCCTCACAGACTCTAGTAGATTCTGTCACTAAGAATGCTCACGAGGCGGCTTCATTGGTTGAAGTATCATCCCATTCACCAAAAAGTTGTAGGTTTGATTCCCAGTCAGGGCACATACCTAGGTTGAGGGTTGATGGAGTATACAGGAAGCAACCCATTGATGTTTCTCTCTCTCTCCTTCCCTCTCCTTTCTGCACCCCCTCTCCCTTCCTCCTTTTCAATTCTTTTAAAAAGTTACAATCTTAAAATAATTATCTGCTCCTGAAAGAAAAATCTCTCTCTCTCCAACAATCAGTTTTTTACTCAAACTCTTTCCATAACTTATTATTTTATTAAAAGTTTGTTTGTTCTGATGAATAATACATACTTGTTTTAGAAAAGTTGGAAAACACAGGAATGTAGAAAGAAAATAAAAATCATTCAAAATTACACTGCCAATCACAGCTAGTCACTCTGTAGGTTTTATCCGTTAACATTGAACCTTAGCTCATTAAAACTTCTCCCATCTAGCCATGAGACTGTCCTGTCCTTTTCCACAGAATATAAAATAGAAATGTGACATATAAAAAACACACTCCAACAGAATAAAATGAGGTTTCTTTACAAAATAGTTTCCTACAAAACCTCCATTTGCCAATTCCTGAGTCACAGACTCTAACAGCCTCTGGAGCATTTATTAAAAGAGTAACCAGAGCACAACCGAGGGGAGAAAGGGCAGGCTCATCTCCAGATTCCCGCCCGACTCCGCACGCTGCCGGGGCCAGGGTGTCCGCTTTTCTTGCGAGCTGGAGGCTTTTCCGTCTTAGGGACCGCGGCGAGGCGTCGAGGGACAGCCTGGGAGGGAATGTGAGGCCGGAGGAAGAGAAGAGACAGTCAGCATTGTGCACTCCCATCCCCACCTCCCTGGGGAGAGGACCAGCATCTTTCGGCAAAGGGGAGGGGCCACTACCGAAAACGGGCAGGAAGCGGCTGGGCGAGGCCACAGAGAACAGGCCAGCCAGGGAGTGTGTGGAGCTGGGAATGAGTGAGTGGGAGCCCTTCCACCCCCGTCATTCTGTCTGCTTGTGCTCACCTCTTTCCGGGGGATCTCACCCAGGCGGCAGTCTGCGTTCCTTCTGGAGACCTGCTCCCCTCGGCTGTCAGTCCTGCCACACAAGGGGGCAGGATGGGGAAGCAGTTCCTCCCCTCTCCCCAGCTGAATAGAGGAACTACTCCCCAACTCTGTCTCTTAAGAATAAAAATAGCCCGGGCCAGTTTGGCTCATCGACAGAGCATCGGCCTGTGGACGGAAGGGTCCCGGGTTCGATTACCACCAAGGGCACGTGCCAGGGTTGCGGGCTCGATCCCCCGGTAGGGGTGTGCAGGAGGCAGCTGATTGATGATTCTCCCTCATCGATGTCTCTAATTCTCTATCCCTCTCTCTTCCTCTCTGTAAAAAATCAGTAAAATACAATAAAAGAGAAAAAAAAACAACTTAAGGTACAAAGACATTGTGAAGAGACATTTTAGAAGCAAAGAAAAAATACAAAGCAGAAAGGAAGAGACGAAGAAAGGTGGGAGCAGTGAGAGACAGAGGAAGAAACAGCCTGTTGATGTGCACCTCATCCTCACTTTCCTCCCCAGAAAAGGACAACACACACATCCCTCTCTTCCCTGCCTGACCCATTTGCCTGCCCACAGTCCAGATTCTACCCACTGAGCCTCCCTCCCCTCCCGCTGGTACCCGCTCTGTTCCAGCCTCTTCAGGTAGAGCAGCAGGTCCTCAGCAGGCAGTGCGCCCCCGGCCCGGGCCTGGTACAGCCGCAACAGCTGCGACATCTCCATCAGCTGCCTCGAGGATGGGAGCCCATCTCCACCTAAGAGACAGTCAGTAATGGTGGCCATCCTAGACCTCTCCCTGGCCCTCATCCCATCGCCCTGGGAACCCAGAAAGGCCTCTGTTCCAGTCCTGGCTCCACACCCAACCCCTCCCCGTTTGTCTCCCAGGAAACCATGACTGCGTACCTCTCTCTGGGGAGCCGCTGCTGGGACCACTGCTCTGTAAATGGGTTGAGGGGAGCTCATGGGCCCGGAAAAGACTAGACGCCATGGCTAAGGGTACTTTAGTTTTATGGACAGGGGGTGGGAGGCGTGGCACGTGAGGGGCTTCCTCCCAAGATGGGACGGTCAGGGGAACTAGCAAAAGGAAAGAGATCAGAGAATCAGGAAACGGGCTAAAGAGCCGAGGAAGTCCTGCCCCCTGGCCTTTATTAGGCTCCATCACCTTTGCCAGCTCCTACATCCTTCCCAGACAAACCCCCCCCCCCACCTTTCCAGGCCAGCCCCAGCCTCCTTTAGGCTGGCACTTACCAGACTTAGGGGGTAACAGGTCCACAGAGGGGTCCTCACTGTTCTGGGGACCTGCCTCCAGCAGCTGGGGACAAGATAGGAAGGTTCCCTCAGGACCAATAAAGAAAGAGACTCGGGTATCTGAGGGAAGCAGAAGCTGGGGAAGTAAGACTACAGTTGGCCACTAAGTTCCAGAGAGGATTGATGAGACAGGAATAAGACTGAGAGTAAGAAGCGGGGACAAAGTATTAATCCAGAAAGGGAGATGAAGCCCGCCCTGGACTCCTAGAGTAGAAAAAGGAAATGAGGAAGAAAGAAGAAGAAAAAAGGTGGGATGAGGGGGCCCTCTCTTACCTGTTGCAAAAAATGCTTGAGGCCCTCCAGCTGAGACGGGGGAGGCAGCCCTTGCTTCAGGAAGCCATCGCCCTCTGCTCCAGGGTCTTCCTCAGGGAATGGCCGTTCTGCTCTGTGATCGGGATGGAAGGCTCCAACTGCAGAGGAGAAGGCCCCATCTGTAAAATGAGACATGTGCACATGCACACGTACACATGTGTATGTTGTAGGGGCAGGGGTTCCTCCACAACTCAGCTCACCAAATGCCCCCCCAATAGAGGCCTATTATACATAAGAGGGACATTGTAGCAAGGAGGAGATAACGAAAAATTAAAGTAACTGGAGGAAAGGGTTATAAGGGACTGAGAGATGAATCAGCTGAATTCTAAGAAGTGCAGATGAAAGGGGAAAGCTGCAGTACTCAAACTCTAAATAAACAAATCTATAATAATAAAAGCATATTAGACTGGACAGCCGAACGAACTTCCTGATGTCCTTCTGGACAACCTTCCGAACAAAGCTGGGGCTTCAAGGGCTGAGGCAGGCCCCCTGGCTGTGAGGGCCGAGCCCATCGCACGAATTTCATGCCATCAGGCCTCTAGTACCACCCCAAACTATTACAGAACTGAAACTAATATTCAGGGGGAACACTGATGTGAGAAACATCGATGTGAGAAACACTGATCGACCACCTCCTGCACACACCTCAACCAGGAGTCAAACCCATAGCCTGGGTTATGTGCCCTGACCGGAAATTGAATCTGAGACCTTTTGGGGCACCGGGCAACACTCCAACCAAATGAGCCACTCTGGCCAGGGCATCCCTCGTTCTTAACTCGACCTGGTTGTCATGTTTGCACCACACAGAGCACCACATCCGCCCAAGTTGCACACTCCCAAGGTTGTCCAATCCATCAGATTACATCTCTTTATTTATTTATTTTTATTTTTATTTTTTAAAAATACATTTTTTAAAAAATATATATATATTTTTATTGATTTTGAACAGAGAGGAAGGGAGAGAGATATAGAGAGTTAGAAACATCGATGAGAGAGAGACATCGATCAGCCGCCTCTTGCACACCCCCCACCGGGGATATGCCCGCAACCAAGGTACATGCCCTTGACCGGAATCGAACCCGGGACCCTTCAGTCCCCAAGCCAACGCTCTATCCATTGAGCCAAACTGGTCTTGGCTTAAAATACATTTTTATTGATATTTTTACAGAGAGGAAGGGAGAGGGATAGAGTCAGAAACATCAATGAGAGAGAAACATCGATCAGCTGCCTCTTGCACAACCCCCGCTGGGGATGTGCCCGCAACCAATGTACATGCCCTTGACCGGAATCGAACCTGGGACCTTTCAGTCCACAGGCCAATGCTCTATCCACTGAGCCAAACCAGTCAGGGCAGATTACATCTCTTTAAACTGGACCTACGAAACAGACACTGTTGTTTCTATAAGGTTATCTAGCGTCTTGGCTGGTCAAATCCATGTTCAAGCTAAAGTTATGAGAGCTAAAATCCTGAATAGAGGAAGTGCTGGTCTACCGAGAGAAAAGCAGATGTGCAGGGAGAGGCAGTCAAAGCCCATGTGAGCCCACAGGGAGGAAGAGCAGCCGCCTCAGCCCCTGACAGCGCTGCTGGGTCCAACGCCAGGTCCCATTGGCCCCACTACATCACATTTCCATGAGCTCTCACTGCCTTTATTCAAACCAACTTGAGTAGATTTCTACTCCTTACAACCTAAGGTCACTCAGACATCTAAATACTCAAGTCCCAGGCAGAAAAGAGCGAGGGAAGAGGGTCCAAGTAGTGCATTAAGGGGTCCCAAAGACGCCTGTCCCAGTTACCTGAGGATGATGTGAGATCTGGCTTTGGCTCCAGGGGCTGGAAGGAATGCTGGTTCTGGAAAGGGGGCTCCAGCAGGAGGCTCAGGTCTGGGGAGGAGCTGCAGAGACCAGGTGGGACGCCAGGCAGCTCGTCCCTTGCTTCCCGGCTCTGCTGCAACACAGGCTTCAGGGCCACGGCCGTGGGAGGCATCGTCCAGTTCCTCCTCTCCCCCTTCTCTCGTTCCTGAGGCCCAGGGCTGCAGGGGCAGGCGGCTGGGGCCTGGGCATAAGAGGTAGGCAGGAAGAAGGGTCAGAGCCCAGTGCATTTAAAGAGGCAAGACATGGTACAGATTGCAAATTAGTAGAACTTGCTAAGAGGATTTTATAGTATCTATCAAATTTTAAAATGCTTCTTTTTGATCTTACAATTCCATTTCTAAAAGTTGTATAGATATATTTGCACAAAAACATTGATATTTATTGCAGCAATTTGTAGAATGTAGCAAAATATAGGCAACAAATTTAAATATCACCAATATGTACTTAAATAAAAAAGTATACAGTAGTGTATAGAAGGCTACCATTTGTGGGGAGAGCACTCAAGACACTAATAAAGTGGTTGCTTCTGGGGAGAGGCACCGGGAGACTGAGGTGCAGATACGGGATGGAGATTACTTTCACTGTGTACCGTATTGATTTGTTTGGATTTTTTTTTCTTACCATGTGCATGCTACTACCTATTAAAAAAAACATTTTGGCTAATAATGAAAATTTCATAACTAAAAGGAGGAAGAGGAGATGCCAACATTAGACCGGCCAGAGATGAGACTCTCAGCCCTGCTCCAGGGCAGGACTTAGCAATAATTTAACATCATTATTCAACTACCATTTGGCAAAACTAAGACCGTGTGTTCCTAACCACCTCTTAGACTGGGAGGGGAGAGTTAGGTCCAAGGCAGTGTGGCCAGTCTGGGTGAGCTATGGCCATGGAAAAAAGATTTCTTTTGACGAGACAGTTATTTCTGGGAAAAGTACACAGATTAAAAAAAAATAAAAAAATGCAGATCCAAGGACCTGAACTTAGGAGCTCCCTTGAGAGGAAGCTAGATTTCCAAAGAAGGGATCTAAGCACAACTCTGAGCAGCTTAGCTTAAGGGGAAATGCCTACTGGGGGGTTGGCAGGCAGGGTAGAGGTGCCCAGCAGGTGGTTTGCCTCCTCCCAGTGGGCCTGCAGCATGGCTTGGAGTCGCTCTACCAGCTCGGCCCGCTGTTCCTCCAGCTGCTGGTTCCTGCTCTGCAGCTCCCGCACTCGCGCGTGCTCCCGGGCCAGTCTGGAGAAGAGAAAGCAGACCTGGAATGAGAGGAACCAAAATGGAATGGCAGAGACCTGGGAAATCCCGAGGCAGTGGGGCCATGCAGAAGAGGACAGGTCCATGGGGGCAGCTCTTCGCCACTCCCGTTTGGGCTCTATGCAGGGGAAGGACCAGGCCTAAAGGGATTCTCCCAGGACCAGTACCGGAGCTCATAGTCCTGAGCCACCTGCTGCTGCCTCTCCTCTCGTTCTGCTATTTCCACCTTGAACTGAGCCAACTGAGCGGACAGTTCCTGCTGGTGCTGTCCATTGAGGTCCTGCAGCTGCTTCCTGAGAGGACAGGTGAGACGAGAAAACTGAATCGGAGACAGAGTAAGCCAGCATGCGTGCCTGTGAGGGAGCCGGCCACAGGCAGCCAGCAAGGCCCAGCACAGTGGGCTCAGGAAAGAGACAAGGACAAAGCTGGTGTCTTAGGGTGGGTTCCCCAGAAGCAGAGGCTGAGGTGAGGATTTATGGGAAAATTGTTCACTTAAGAAGCATTTCCAGAGAAAACTGGCAGGGGAGTGGGGATGAGGGGAGTGAGACTGGGATGGGAAGGAGGCTCGGTCCCACAGGGCAGCTCTGGAGATGGAGGAGGTCACAGCTCATCGTTGTCTCATCAGTTACTGGGGAAAGGCTATGCCCTAGGGGAGGAAAATCACCAAGCACTCTGGCTCTCTGTGCACTGGAGGCAGCTGTCCCCCAGAGACACTTCGGTCCAACTGCACCAGCCAGCATGTTGGAAAACAATAAAGGGATCGGAGGATATGGGCTGGGCATGAATGACACCCGTGTGGCCGAGGAGGGCAGCATCCAGTAAGCCTCAGTACCTGTGCTGGTCCCTCAGGGCAGCTGCTTGCCGCAGGCTGCTCTCCTGAGCCTGGGCCAGCCGCTCCGTCACCCGCTGCTCCAGCTGCACAGCCAGCTCTGACTCCAGCTGGATCCGCTGGCTTTCATACCGGGCCTGGGAGTGAAGGAAGGTGGGCTAAGTCAATTCTGTTTGGAATTAAGAGAGGATTGATGATAGAATGTGCCAACATTTCCCCTCACACGCCCAAGGGATGAAAGCCAAGAACTTTGCCACGGGAGTGACAGAGGTTCCCTTCCCTTTCAGGTCATGAAGTACTCACACCTTATACGCACACAACACTGAAAATGACTCTGGACAAAAGAAATGTTTGGTTTTTTAAATACATTTTATTGGTTTTTTACAGAGAGGAAGGAAGAGAGATAGAGAGCTAGAAATCTCGATGAGAGAGAAACATCGACCAGCTGCCTCTCACACACCCCCTACCAGGGATGTGCCCGCAACCAATGTACATGCCCCTGACCGGAATCGAACCCGGGACCTTTCAGTCCGCAGACCGACGCTCTACCACTGAGCCAAACTGGTTTCGGCAGAAATGTATTTTTTAACCAAAATAAATGTTAGGTAGAACAATTGAATTTATTATATGTGTCTGAGGTAACAGCACCTGACATTCAATAAATGTCAGTGTCCCTTCCTCCTAAAGCAGAACCAGGCTGTATCACTCTCTCCAGTTTCTCATATTTCTTTTTCAACTCACTGAAATCTGATTTCTACTTACAGTATACTTCATGGCAAAGAATTTAATTTCTAAATCCAACACTGGTGCTTTCTCAGTCTTATGCAACATCTGTCACCTAAACCAACCCTTCCTTCTAAAACCATGTTCCCTGAGCTCCCATGATGCCACCTGCCACCATCTGGGTTTTCTTTATGTCTGACTGCTCCCCGGGCTCAGCTGATTGCTCTTCTTCCTTCTGTCCATAAAGGTTGAATGCTTTCTTCAGTTCTGTCCTCAACCTTCTTTTGACCATGTGCTAACACTGGCCACTGATGCTTTTGCATATGTATAATCAATGCTTGGCCTTTAGGCCATGTTTTTTTGTTACCATTTACACTTTAAACACTTTCTAAATCTCTCTTTAGCCTAGACCTTTCTTCCAGGCTTTAAGAATGACTATTGCATAACTATCTGGATACACCTCAAACACAATATATCCAAAATGAGCTCATTTGGTTTTTTACCCTCAAATCTTTGTCCCTACTGTATTTCTTATCTTAATGACACCAATCTCCACTGAAACACACAAGCTATTTGAATCCTGGAGTTATCCTTAACAACTCCTATTTCTTTACCTTCCAACTGATTGTCCCATTCTATTTCCTTAACATCCAATTTACCCCTCCACTCACTACTACGTTAATTCAATATTATTTCAAGTATAATTTACCTCATTGCCTCTAGCATATCTTCCCCCTCTCCCATTCTGGCTCCAGTAGATCCTCCTCTTCATGGCTGAGTAAGTATCCTAAAATATTAGGTCTAGTAATAATGTCGTTTTCTAATACTTTTTAAAATCGAATTTATTTAAACAATACAACAAAATTTAATCAACAATATAGTTGCCGTTGTTTTCTACTACTTGTGCCCAACGCTCAGGAAGCATTTTAATCCCTCTGTTGTAAAATTCTTGTGATTTTGATGCAAAAAATTCGGTCAATGCATTCTTGAGGCATTCTTCATTATTAAATTTTTTTCCAAGAAGAAAGTTTTGCAAAGAACGAAACAAATGGTAATCGGAAGGGGCAATATCAGGAGAATATGCAGGTTGAGGGAGAACTTCCCATTCCAACTGGCGCAGTTTTTCAGCAGTGATTCTTGCAGTATGCGGTCGTGCGTTATCGTGGTGAAGAATTACGCCCTTCCGATTAATCAGTGCGGGTTCTTTTTCTCTTAAAGCTTGGGCTAACCTTTCCAATTGGGCACTATACACTGCACTTGTAATGGTTTGGTTAGATGGTAAAAGTTCATAATGAAGAATTCCTTTAAAATTCCACCAAACACACAACATCACTTTTTTCGCATGCAAGTCAGGTTTTGGCATGGGCTGCGGAGCCTCATTTTTGTCCAACCATTGAGGCCGCCTTTTCAAATTAACATACAGCACCCATTTTTCATCTCTGGTAACAATTTGCTCTAAAAACGGCAAACGGTTTTGACAAGAGAGGAGCGAACTGCAAATTGTGACTCTTTGATTACGGTTGTTGTTGGTCAACTCATGAGGAACCCATTTTCCAAACTTTTGGACTTTGCCAAGTGCACGCAATTGATTGGAAATTGTTTTTTGTGAACAATTTAAAATTGTCGCAAGCTCTTGTTGGGTAATTTGAGGATTTTGCACCAAAAGAGCTTGAAGAGCTTCTTGATCAAAATTGGACACACGGCCTCAACCACTCTTGTCATCAAACGAAAAATTTCCCTCGCGAAATTTCTCAAACCAATGCTGACATTTTCTGGCGCTAACTGCATCTTGACCAAGAGCACTACAGTTGTTTTTTGCAGCCTCACTTGCTTTTCTTCCTAATTGGAACTCGTAAAGCATGCAGTGCCGAATATGCTCTTCATCCGCCATCTTCTTAGCCCTAGTTTTGGAACAAAAACCAAACCAAACACAAACTTTTTCAAGCAAAACTTGTTAATTGCACTTCACACGTTCTGTAGATACCACGTGTTTGAAGGTTATGTCAATACAAGTCAACGCCAAGCAAGATTTTAAACGAATGTTGAAAAACGACATTAATTATTACTAGACCCGATACAAAAATGTGTGATCTATTCTCTTGTTTGGAACCCTTCAAATGCCCCAACTGGCTAAAAAGAGTTCTAGCTACTTAAAATGGCTTACAAGGCCCTTTATGATTTCCCACCACCCATCTACCTCACTTCTCCCAAATATGTCCCAATCATACCAAACTCTTGCACTAACCTAAATTTTTTCAAATTGTGGTAAGAAACACATCATATGAAATATACCCTCTTAATCCATTTTAAGTGAACATTTGAGTAGTGTTAACTATATTGTTATGCAGATTTCTAGAACTTTTTCATCTTGTAAAACTCAAATTCAATACCCACCGAATGACTCCCTATTTCCCCTCCCCCAACCCTGGCAACCAACATTCTACTTTCTGTTTCTATGCCCTGCAGGGGAAGGCAATTGGAGGCAATCATGCCAGCAGGGGAATATTGTAGTTAGGGGGCTATCAGGCTGGCAGGCAGAGTGGTTAGGGGCAATCAGGCAGGCAGGCAGGCAGGCGAATGGTTAGGAGCCAGCAGTCCCAGATTGTGAGAGGGATGTCCAAGGGATCCCAGATTGGAGAGGGTGCAGGCTGGGCTGAGGGACATCCCCACTCCATGCACACATTTCATACACCGGGCCTCTAGTATGGTTATAATGCTCTAAACCGATAACAAACTAGACACACATTCAAAATTACACTCAAATACTATACATATTCTCAAGCACACATGAAACATTTAGAAAAGTTGACCATATATTAAGAGATAAAATAAATCTGCCGAAACTGGTTTGGCTCAGTGGATAGAGCGTTGGCCTGCGAACCAAAAGGTCCCAGGTTCGATTCCGATCAAGGGCATGTACCATGATTGCGGGTACATCCCCAGTAGGGGGTGTGCAAGAGGCAGTGATCAATGATTCTCTCTCATCGATGTTTCTAACTCTCTCTCTCCCTTCCTCTCTGTAAAATATCAATATTCTCCCATGATGTCCAAAAAAAAAACCTCTCAAATGATGTGAGGTGGGAAAGGGAGAAAGAAGAGGGTGGGAAGAGGAGAGAGGATAAGAGAAAAAGCGAGAGAGAGAAAGAGAGAGAGAGAGAGAGAGAGAGAGAGAGAGAGAGAGAGAGAGCGCGAGCCTAACCAAGTTAGCAAGCATGGCTCAGCAGTTAAATGTTGACCCATGAACCAGGAGGTCACGATTCAATTCCTGGTCAGGGCATATACCTGGGTTGTGGGCTTGATTTCCAGTACAGGGTGTGAGGCAGCCAATCCATGATTCTCTCTCATCATTGATGTTTCTATCTCTCCCTCTCCCTTCCTCTTTCTGAAATCAACAAAAATATATTTTTAAACAGACTATAGCAGATAGTCTTATAAACAAAAAAAACAAAAAACACCCCACAAAAGAATGTCAACTGTAATTTAAAAAAGGTAGTTATTTATCATCCTACCTAATAAAAGAGGAACATGCAAATTGACCATACCTTCACTACACCCACCAGCCAATCAGGGGGAGTATGCAAATTAACCCAACCAAGATGGCGGTTAATTTGCATATCCAGGCCAGAGCAATGGCTGAAGATAGCATAGAAAGAAGCCAAGCACTGCAGAAGGGAGTGAAGCTGCGGAGAAGTAAGCAAGTGGGGCAAGGGAGAAGGGAGGGAAGCAGGCAGGCAGCGACTGCAGCAGGAAGCCCTATTGTAGGAATCTTCCTGCAATGGGCCTCTAGTTATAAATAAATTAAATAGGGAATTTTATATATGCCTATGATTAATAAAACAAAAGCTATGATCCACCTATATATTTTCTACATGAGACTCACTTTAGATACATAGATGCATAGGTTGTAAGTAAAAAGATAATCCATGCAAATAGTAACCAAAAGAGAGCTCAGGAGCAATATTGTTGTGGGGGAAAATAAATTTTAAACCAAAAAAAGTTATATCAAAAAGATATTAGCACCCTGGCCAGTGTGGCTCTGCTGGTTGAGCATCATCCCATGCACTTGAAAGGTTGCCGGTTTGATTCCTGGTCAAGGCACATGCCAGGTTACAGGTTCAATCCCTGGTCAGGGTGTATATGGGAGGTAATTGATAGATATTTCTCACATTGATGTTTCTATCTCTCCCTTGTCTCTAAAATAAATAAAAACATGAAAAAAAAGAAGATATAACAATTATAAACATGTATGTACCTAAGAGTGACCCAAAATACATTAATAATTAACAGGATTAAAGAGAGAAATAGACAGTTCTACAATAATAGTTGGAGACTTCGATACCCTACTTTCAATAATAGTAGAACAATAAGGAAACGGAGGACTTGAACACTAAAGCCAAGCACTATTCTGGAATTCTACAATAAACAGACAAAAATACTTGCTTTCATGGATCTTACAGAAAACAAACAAGGTTTTAAAAGGTATACTATGTAGTATATTAGGAGGAAAGTCAAACAGGGAAGAGAAATGGATTTTCAGAGGTTTCAGATTTTACTCAATGTGGTTAGAGAAGACCTTATTAAGAAAATGACATGCCTGGAGCAGTTCTTACCCTCAATTATCGTTTTCCATACTACTTCAAAAATGTGTGTACTAGACAAATTCCCATCTAGCTGGTGAGCTCCTTGGCAAGGGCTATTCCCAGCTCCTAGCACAGAGCTTTCATGGAGGGGCTACTCAGCAGGCTTACTGAATACACAAGTGCACACATACATCTAGCGCCAATTCAGGAGTTACAGCAGCGTATAAATTGCTACTTATTAGTTGTTTACTAACATCTTTGCCGTTGGTCTCCATGATAAATTAGTTTCCATGTGGTCAGTCCTCTTATTCAATGGGACAGGTGAAAGAAGTGTGTTTGTTCAAACACTGGTCTAACTAACCCAGAAATAGAAAATCTTCTTAAGTCAACCACTAATAAGGGAAAGAAATCTCTGAGATTGACATGCTCTCAGAAACTTATTAATTTTCCCTTAACACAGATTTTATTCATAAAAACAAAGGCCTATAAAAGTCCGAGTTAGAAATGTGAGTGTTTGCCATGACTCCTGAAAGGTCACACTGCTTCAGAGTTACTTCCACTGACCTGCACCAAGCTCATCTCCAGCTGCAGGGCGTCTGTCTCCCTCCGGGCCGTATCCAGCTCTCCTTCCGCCCTCCGCAGCTCTGCCTGCATCAATGCCAGTTGCTGCTGGGCCTCCCGGGCGGCCTGGGCTTCTTTCTGCATGTTCCCCTGAGGAAGGGAAAGTGAACTTAAGTACATACCCAATTTCCCGTCTCCTGGTTACCTCTATTCCCCCATTCATACCCACCCCTATACCCTAAAACCCAAGCTTCCTTTCCCTCCCTTCATATTTGATCTCGTTTCTAATCTCTGTTTAATCTTACTCTTTGATTTTCTGTGTATTTGATGCCCAAGCCCTTCTAGCTGGCCCCACACGCTCCATCTTGTCTCCCACATACAGTTCTTCACTCTCCGGCCCAGCCCCCTATGCCCCACATTCTGACATCCATCCTATTCAATCATTTTGCCCTTCACCTGCTCCCCGTTGCCCAGCTGCTGCTTTTACCTTCTCCCTTTCCAGCTGCGCCTGGCCCTCCTCCTGCAGCGCCTGGTAGTGCTCCTTCAGCTGGCGCTCTTGCTGGGCCCAGGCCTGCCGTTCTTCTTCCAGGGCAACCTGAAGTGTCTCCAGCTGCTGGTGCTCACGGATCTGCCCGGCGCGAGCCTCCTCCCGCTCCTCCCGCAGGGCCCGGCACTGCTGCTGCTCTAGCTCCAAGCTCAAGGTCAGAGCTCGCCTTTCCTCTTCCTACAGCCCCAGGAGAAAACCAAGATCCTCAGCTTGTCCTCAAGCAGTCTGCCCCTTCACCCCCACACAATGTGCCTGCTGAGAATTATGTCCATTACACATGCAAAAGCTGACAAGCCTACAGGATTATAATATAATAGATAAGACCTTTTGTTCCAGAAATAGGTAAATCTGGGTCCAAATCTCAGTTTGAATCCCAGCTCTGTCATTTACAATGTGTTCTTAGGTACACATCCTTATCTGTGAAATGAGCAGGCATAATATTAGGGTCTACCTTGTGAAGATTAAAGTAAAAAGTGTATGTGCCCCTGGTCGGTTTGGCTTAGTTGACTGGGCACCATTCCATGCACCAAAAGGCTTCTGGTTCAATTCCTGGTCAGGGCACATGCCCAGGTTGCAGGATCGATCCCTGGTAGCGGGAGTACAGGAGGCTGCTGATCGATGTATAGCTCTCACCTCGATATTCTCTCTCTCTCTCTCCCTCTTCCTTCCCCTCTCTCAAAAAATCAATCAGAAAATCCTTTGGGGAAAAAAAGTGTATGTAAAGCATTTAGCAGTGTCTGGCACACAGTAAGTTTTCAATATATTATATAAAAGCTATCACCATCATAAAAAATTCCACAAAGAATAAAAAACCCAGCCTACTATCATGTACCAGCAAACCAGCAACCTTCATTAACACGGTTGGATATAGCCGGTTAAGATTTTAAGTACCAGCATGCATGTAGCAAGCATGTGTCATACATGGAACAAGTTCCAAACCTGGCTACTAATTCATATGGGTAATCACCTTATCATTTCAGCAATAAGAAACATGAATGAGTGTATCATCCCTTTTTTGGCTATGCCCTAGACTAGAATTCCCAAACCTGGCTGAACAAAATCACCTAGGGAATTTCTGAAAATATTTAGGTTCCTAAACACCACCCTATACCTACTGAGTCAAAACCTCTGGGGATGGGTCCCGGAAATCGTATTTTAAAATAATCCCCAGATGTGTGTGGTGAGGATGTAACTTTAGTCTCTCAAACTTACTTGGTGGCAGAGCCCTTTGGGAGAGTATCTAGCAGAACGAGTGTTCTGAGGAACACACTTTGAGAAATACTGCCCTGGTGTAACTAAAGCTTTGAACTCCCACATCCACCAATTGCTCATAACCTTCTAGAAGTAATTAACATAACAGCCTCTACTGGCATTAACCCAGCCCGGCATTCTCACCAGCAGCTCTCTTTCCCGTTGCTGTATTCTGGCACCTTCTTGCTCGCGATTCAGGGCCTCCAGGGCCTCAGACAGACTTTGTTCCAGGCGGGTTACTGTCTTTGGGAAGAGAGGTCCATAGGACAGAGGAAGTGAGGGGAATCTCTATATGTTATACTTCAAAAAGCATTAACAATCTGAGGATGTAAACTTTAAAACTAAGAGTTAACTAAATGACTTGAGAGCCAAAAAGACTACACGGTGCAGGGAAAGCTGGGAAGACATCAGTGATGCAAGTTTAACAACAGAAACATGAAAGGAGCAGAAATAGGAGAGAATTGTCAGGCCAGTGACTGCAAGATTGAGGTCAATCTGTTAGGACCTAATTCCAGAGCTATTTCCACTCCCCTTATGCTAGCAGCCAGTGACCTAGGATCTAATTCCATGTAAAACACATCGCCCACCTCCTGCTGCTTGCTTCTAGTGAGCTCAGCCGCCTGACGTTCCTCCTGGAGTCCCCGAAGTACCTCTGTGCGTTCGGCTTCATGCTGGTTCCAGCCCTCCACCACACGCGCCAGGGTCTCAGGGAAAGAAAGTCAGATGGAATTTCAAAAAAATATTTTTGCCCTCTTTCTGTCCATGGGGGTGAGATCAACAGTCTCCTTCTCCCAGTAGTCAGTAACCCACCCCACACCCCAGCTCCTGGCATGCACTAAGAGATGTTGGTTGGCCACCCCCTGTTAACTCTTGCTTGGCGCTCCCCATGGAGAGGCCCAGCACATTCTGCTAGCTTGGCACCTTGTCCAGCTGTTCAATCATGATGTCTTTCTTGCGGTCCGCAGTCACGGCCACAGCTAACTGCTGCTGAAGCTCCAGTACCCGGGTCTGTAGGCTCTGAATGTGGCGCTCGCAATGCTGGGAAGAAGGATAAGGAAACTGAGTGTTGCCATCCTCAGTCTGACCAAGCACCAAACTTTCCACCTCCTCTAGGGAGACATGGACTGGAGACAGGAAATGGGCTGCATCCCAAGAACAGAATAGGTTTGGAGGGAAATCGGGAATTTTAGAGCAGGAATCTCAGGTCCAAGGCTTCCAGCACCTTCCTCTGCCTTCTCGGAGAGCGGGGGCTCAGCTTCCGGCTCTCCCCTTCCCTGGATCTATGGACCTTTTGGCAGAGGTGCAGCAGCCCACACTGAAGAAGTGGAAGCTATTCCTGCCTGAGAAGCTCACTGAACACAATGATTAAACATAGCAAGGATAAAGGCAAAGCCTTTCATTCATGCCCAGGCGGTTGAAAATAGAAGTCAGAGCCCAGCGGCATGGCTGAGTGGTTGAGCATCAGTCTATGAACCAAGAGTCATGGGTTTGATTCCCAATGAAGGCACATGCCCAGGTTACAGATTTGATCCCCAGTAGGGGGTATGCCAGAGGCAGCCAATAAATAACTCTGATGTCATCATTGATGTTTCTACCTCCCTCTTCCTTCCTCTCTGAAATCAATAAAAATATACTTTAAAAAAAGAAAAATAGAAGAAAAATAAATAGAAGACAGAGTTCCAAAAATGACAACATAATCAATGATTTTGATTTTTCTTCTGCCTTGTCTCTCTTTCTTCCCACTTCAGACAGACTAAGGTCAAAGAGATAAAGCTCATTACATCAACAGCTATAAAGCGTTTGTACAAGAAAACAAAGTTCACTGTGTATTCACTAAATGCTTATGGAGTGCTTCTATGTGTTAGGTATATTCTAAACCTCAGGAAGACAGTGCTGAACAAGGAGCTTATATTTTAGAAGGGCAAAACAAGCAAGATATAGCAGATGTGATGAGCTATAAGAAGGAACTGAGAGTAACGAATGTCTGGAGAGGGGTGCCGTTTTAGATAGCATGGTGAAAGAAGGTTCCCTGAAGAGCCATTTGAACCAAGTCCCACTTGTGGGCCCTTAGCCCTCTGCCTGTTTTAGCACTCAGCCCTTTTCTAATCTTTGCTACTTTCAAAAGGAAGCTTAATATCTCACCTTTCGGCGGGTATGCTCTGAATCCAGTGCATCTCTCAGGCCCTGAAAATCCGGGGGGTTGAGTGGGGGTCCTGACCGAAGGCTAGTATAACGGGGAAACAGTTCCTCCAGGGCTTGGGCTGAGCTAGATGGAGATAAGTCTTGCAGGGGTCGGGTGCTGAGTAAACCAGGTAGACAAATATAAGATTGAGAAAACTTTGAGACCCATTAGTCCAACCGTGACATTTTACAAATGAGGAAACTAAACTCAGAAAGGGCAAGAGACTTGGCTGAAGTCATTAAGTTAGACAGTGATCCTATGTAATAAAAAGCTAATATGCAAATTGTCCCCTCAACTGGGAATTCGGGGGGTGGGGCCAGCCCGCCAACTGCCCCTGCCTCCTCCTGCCCCCCCCCCTTTTGCACAGCCGGCCTGATCACCTGGATCAGGGCCAGCAGGACCCCATCCGTGCACAAATTCATGCACTGGGCCTCTAGTAGAACCAGAAATAGCACCTAGGTATTATGATTCACTCTATAGTGCTCTTTCCTTTATGCCACACTTCCTATGATAAAAGTCTCCGCAGAAACAAGCTAACTCTCCTGGGAGAAGGGAGAAAGCCAGGTACTAGTCAGCAGATGCCCACGTTCCTGAAGGAGTAAAGGGAGTAGAAGATAGGAGAGAAAGGATAAAACTAAAAGCTAACTGACAAGTGTCTTGGGTCTTAAGAGGAACAAGAGCAATCGGAATAGAACACTCAGCTCTCCAAGAAAGCAAGCTAGAAGAATCCCAAGGAGAACTCACTTAAGCAAGGTGGCTGTGCTTTCACTGTCGAAGGAGTCTCCTTCCCGTCTCTCTGAACCAGCTCCTGGAATAAGGGGATCCCCTAGAGAGAGGCAGAGGGACCCCAGGGTCAGGCAAGGATGGGAACAGGGCCCACTTGAAGACAGCAGAGAGCCTTCCTTTTTACTTCACCCACTCCTCCGGCCCCTCTGCCAAGGACAGGGAGCCTTTCAGCCTGAAATCTTGTCAGAGGTCTAGGTCCTCCTGCAGCCACTTCCTCTCTCTCCTTGCTCCCACCCCGTAAATCTAGGTTCTCCTTTACGGGGAAGGGATTTACTCACGATAGGCTGTATCACGTGAGTTTTGGAGCATGCTCTGGAGTTGGCCCCGAACACTTTCCATCTCAAAGATATGCTTGGAACCATCCTAGGGAAAAGTAACACAAACGAGAAGCAACTTGAATAATCTATATTCAACCACTGCCAGGGGAGATGGCACCCCCTAAAACCCAATACTTTTTGCTCCAGCACCGAGAAAAGCAAGAACGGGAGAACTTGACCCAATAAGGGTCAGACACTCAAACGTGTCCAGAAGCCAGACAGGTCGTGTAATTAGTTGACCTGGCACATTAAGTTAAGCGCGGAGAGGATTCTTGCCAACTAGACAGCAAATACCCTCTGAACGACTGTGTAGCCCGTGGCTATCAGCTTTTCGAACTCTGGAAGACCTAACCAGTCTGCAAATTGGTTATGAGATCTTTTCTATGCAATACTAATAACTATCTTCTCTGTAACATGTTTAGTTTATTAAACTATGCTTTCGTTACTTACATGCCTAATTTTGAACCATACAATCAAAACCGATTTGAGCTGGAAGGCTCTTAGCATACGTTGCTCTATCCATAAGCCCTAGTTGCTTTTTGGGATGGAGAAAACTTATCCTCGCCGCCAGTCCCCAAACCCCAGTCAACGCACAGCAACCTAACCCACAGGGCAGGTATCTCTGACACAGGAAAACATGGGGAAATCTCACGATTTCCCATATGATGGTGTCCCAGGCCACTCTCCCCCTCATGACTGTGTCCTTAAAAGGAATTTGAGCCGAAACCGGTTTGGCTCAGTGGTAAAGTGTCGGTCTGCGGACTGAAAAGTCCCAGGTTTGATTCTGGTCAAGGGCATGTACCTTGGTTGCGGGCACATCCCCAGTAGAGGGTGTGCAAGAGGCAGCTGATCAATGTTTCTAGCTCTCTATCTCTCTCCCTTCCTCTCTGTAAAATATCAATAAAATATATTTTTGAAAACACACACACACAGGCCTGAGGTAGTTATAATACTTGCTGAAGGCCATGTATTTAAAAAAAAAAAAAAAGGAATTTGAAATCCTACAATAGTTCAACTCTCGATAAAGCTTTTTGTTTTTTATCACCCCCAATCCCAGACACACCTCCCTCATCTTTTTCTTCAAGTTGTTCTCCAATCCAACTGACAAACTGCGACTCAGCTCTTGGGCCAAGCTGTCCAGCCCCTCGTGAGGCGGGAGGGCGGCGGAGGGCAGGTACAGCTGGGCGCGGGCGGTGGCCTCTGCCTGCCGGCTGCGGTGCAGGGAAGCATAGAGCTGGGAGGTGACCTCGGAGGACACCTGGTTCAGCGCAGGGGCTTCTGACGAGTCACTCAGGAGATCCTCCGCCCGGAGCGGTGAACTGGGACTGGTAGGTGATGTCGCCATGAATAGAGGGAAGAGAAAACTGGAGACAGCAGAGCTAGGAATTCCAGGTTCTGCTTTAGGACAGTCCGGTGGGGAAAGTGCACAGAAAAGGAAGATTTCGGAGAAAGGAGGAAGGCTCCGAGCCAAGGAACGTCGGTGAAGAAGGGTACGGAGGCTTTCTGGTCAGAGGAAAGGTTCCCACTCGTACCACCAGTCATGGGAGAGAGCAAAAGCATCTCTTCCCGCAGCTCCTGGACCCTGCGGGGAAGGGGGATGCAGCACGGAGTGGGGACAGAAGACCCTTGGGGCAAAAGCACCGCTGCAGCTCATCTAGTGTTGAACGTTACAGATCAGCTTTGCACAGGCTGCATCGCCGGTCAACTCAGCTCTTAAACCCCACACCCAGAGTACAAACGAAAAACCCCAAATCCCTAATTTCCGTCCAGCTGCCTCACTTGCAGGTCAACTGGCTCCAATCTCAGAGGCTGGGATCTTAGGCTCCCCACACCTCTCTGCCCACTGCACCTCTCCGCCCACTGCACCCCTCTGCCCACTGCACCCCTCCGCCCACTGCACCCCTCTTCCCACTGCACCCCTCCGCCCACTGCACCCCTCCACCCACCGCACAGGTCTACCCAGGGTCAACTCTCCTGTACACCCCCTCCAAGCAAGAAAGCCCTAGCAAAGCTCCCTAGAGTCCCTCCCTTGGGAGGAGGTCCATTGGGTCAAAAGGAGACATATGTAAAACTTTAGGCAATAAAATAAAAAATAATAAAGAATCCCTCCCTTCCTCCTACCCCAAAGGAAACTTTGTGAACTCAGTCACACCCTCAGAACGTCCCCAGAGGGGACGCCGCCCTCAAACCTAGTCCGAGATGCTCCGATTACCCCGTTCCGATCACCCCACACCTCCAGTCCTCAGCCCCCCAGTTTGTCAGGGTGGGGACCAGCGACAGCCCCTTCCCTCGAGCCCGGATCCGGAAAGGGTGAGACCCCCCTCGCGCGCTCCCCCTCACTCAAAACCGTTGGCAGCGGCCCGCCCACCGGCCGCGGCCCCGCCTCGCCCGCCGCCGTGACGTCACCAGCCGGGGCCTCGCCGCCGCGCCTTTACGGCTCCGGGCGCCCGGGAGCCCGGATGCGCACGCGCAGTCGCCAGGGCCACAGACCGGAAGGTGTGTTTGGACGGAGCTCACGCTCCGCCGCCGCGAAAGGACCTGGGGGGCGGGGCTCCGCGGAAACCGGAAGTGTCTAGTGACAGGCGCTTGGAGCAGTTCCGGTGAGTTTGGGAGTGGGGAGCCCGCCTGTTTGGAAGGGTCGGGGACGGGACCCTGGAACCCGCGGAGGCTGGGCGGGCCTGGAGCGAGGCTCACGCTCTGTGCCCCGCAGATGACTGTCCACAACCTGTACCTGTTTGACCGGAATGGAGTGTGTCTGCACTACAGCGAGTGGCACCGCAAGAAGCAAGCGGGGATCCCCAAGGAGGAGGTGACGGGAGGGCCCCGCGCACCCGGGTGACCTCGCACTTCCAGGCGCACATAGTCCTAGTCCAGCCGCCCCTCTCCTAACCTTGGCCCTCTCCCACCCCGGGCCCGTCTCCTTCAGCCACCAGGAGCTAACTCTGCCTTTTTCCCTCCAGGAGTTCAAGCTGATGTACGGGATGCTTTTCTCTATCCGTTCGTTTGTCAGCAAGATGTCCCCGCTAGACATGTACGCTGGAGTCAGGGGGAATGTTGAGGGGGAAAGGACTAGCCCTGGGAGTTTGGGCCGGGGGAAACTTTCTGGAGTGGAAGGGGCATTTGCCCCCACCCACCCACCCACCCAGAGAGGGAGCTGAATCCGAGCGAGAGTGCCAGAGCTGCAAGGAGCGATGGTGGGGAAACTCGATGATAGAGAGGTTGGATATGGGGGTCGAATGTGGAGAAGGGGGAACGGAGTCCGGGGGAGGTGTCTACTAAACCAGGCACCTACAAATATGTTTAAAGAAAAGGGGATCGACCTAGAGATGACTAGAAGTTTCTTTTTGGGAAGATTCTGCTCCCGTTCCTTAACATCCTCCTCATCCCTGCAGGAAGGATGGTTTTCTGGCCTTCCAAACTAGTCGTTACAAACTCCATTACTATGAGACGCCCACTGGGATCAAGGTTGTCATGAATACTGACCTGGGCGTCGGACCCATCCGAGACGTACTGCATCACATTTATAGTGCGGTCAGTGCCAGCCCCTGGGACCCTCCCCCCAAAGATCCTCAGCGTATGCCATGGTCATGTAGAGCCCCGAGACTCCTTCTGATTTCCTGCCAGGATCCTATTTTATCCCTATTGAAGTCAGAGTTGTTGTTTTTTTCTTTCTTTCTTTCTTTTAAAAAAATATATATTTTATTGATTTTTTTACAGAGAGGAAGAGAGAGGGATAGAGAGTCAGAAACATTGATGAGAGAGAGTCATCAATCAGCTGCCTTCTGCACATACCCTACCCACAACCAAAGTACATGCCCTTGACCAGAATCGAACCTGGGACCTTTCAGTCTGCAGGCTGACGCTCTATCCACTGAGCCAAACCGGTTTTGGCTAAAGTCAGAGTTTTCAACACGCCCACCACTAGCTTCTCATCAAGGAGGGCTTGCCTCCCAGCCCTTGGTCCTTATGTATTCACACATCCTTGAGGTTATACTAGGTTTGGAGTCGGAAACAAGAAGTGTCCAAAGCCTGGCTCTAACATTCTCCCTCTCCGTAGCTGTACGTGGAGCTGGTGGTGAAGAACCCCCTGTGCCCGCTGGGACAGACTGTACAAAGTGAGCTCTTCCGCTCCCGACTGGATTCCTACATCCGCTCTCTGCCCTTTTTCTCTGCCAGGGCTGGCTGAAGAAAGCACCCTACCTCACCCTCAGGAGAACCTGACTTCCTGGGGCCCTTCCTAACCTGTTTCACCTCAGGGCTCTCCACTGCCTGCCCTCAAACCCCTCCAGCCCCCTTACACCCCCCCGTGGGGCCCTCCCCGTCACCTGCAAACCAGGCCCTCTCTCCGGGTTCATCCACTATCAGATGCCATGAGAAGTACTGAATAAACTTTTTTGTCACTGCGTCTTGAGTGTGTCCTTTTGGGTGGTTGGTCAGGGGCCCTGCCCCACTCATAGAGGCCTGAAGCAGGTGGCCACATCCTCTGAGCCTGCACAGAGGCTCTGACCATGGTTTTCTCAACAGCAACACTACTGATATTTTGGGGCTGGATATTTCATTGCTGGGGGGTAGTGCTGTTCTGTGCCTTATCCTGGCGAGACTCACTAGATGCTGGTAGCACATTCCTCTCCATCCCCAGTAGTGACAGTAAAAAACGTCTCCAGCCAAGACCGGTTTGGCTCAGTGGATAGAGCGTCGGCCTGCGGACTGAAAGGTCCCGGGTTCGATTCCGGTCAAGGGCATGTACCTTGGTTGCGGGCACATCCCCAGTGGGGGGTGTGCAGGAGGCAGCTGGTCGATGTTTCTCTCTCATCAACGTTTCTAACTCTCTGTCCCTCTCAATTCCTCTCTGTGTAAAATCAATAAAATATAAAAAACAAACAAAGAAAAAAACGTCTCCAGTTCTTGTCAGATGTTCCCTGGGGGACTCAATCATCCCCTCCAGAGAAGCTTGGCCTGAGAGCCCTGAGAACCACCCTCCCCGGTGCTGCTCTTCTCCTCTGAGTACATCCAATAGTCACGCTGTAGAGCCCCGGGAGGCGGGTCTTATGCAGATGAGAAGCGAGTTTAACCGGGAGGTGGGCGTGTTTATGCAAACGAGAGGCGGTGCCTGCATGTTGAGTAGCCGGCCCCGCTGCGGACGCGGCTGGGAACCCAGCGGGTCCCCTGCGGATAAGCCTGAGGTGGCACCTCTTCTCCCCACTCCTCCTCCTTGGTCCCTACCCTCCTAGATCGCCCTCCACCGTTACCCTCATTCATTCCGCCTCCTCTTCCCGCGCCAGGGCCCCCGTAGACGAATATCTCCACTCGTGGATCCCCTGCGTCTCTCTCCTCCCACCGCAAACCCCGCGACCTCCAGCAGCCCGCCCCCGCGGCCCGGTCCTGCCTGCTGACTCCCTCCGCAGCCTCAGCCTCCCCGCTCTCCGCGGGGCTCCCGCCGCTGCACCCCGCTCGTCCGCCCTCGGGCGTCCCGACTTCCCACCTTCCCTCCCCCGCGGAGCCCCCGGCCGCGGGCAGCCGGCATGCAGGTGTCCATCGCGTGCACCGAGCAGAACCTTCGCAGCCGGAACAGCGAGGACCGCCTGTGTGGACCCCGGCCGGGCCCCGGGGGCGGTAACGGCGGGCCTGCCGGCGGGGTGCACGGGAATCCTCCGGGAGGAGGAGCGTCGGGCCCCAAGGCCCGCACCGCAGTGGTCCTCCGACCCCCAGCGCCCCCTGGGGTCCTCCGAGAGAGCACCGGCCGAGGCACTGGCATGAAATACAGGTATGGGGGTGGCTGGGCAGCCCTCCCACTCTGCTCCCCCTTCCTGACCCCTGAGGCTTCCTGAGATGCCCAAGGAGCCCCTCAAACTTCGCTAAGAAGGTCCCGGCGCATTCTCTCCTTCCCAGCACCAGCGCTCCCTTACTTGGTCCCTCTCTTGATCTCCGTCGATACCCCTACTAGGAGAAATTCAAGTTTACCAAGGTTGATCCCATCCTGTCAGAGCCCGGGGATGCCCCTGAGCTTTTCTCCTTACCCCCAGGAAAGCCAGGGATGCATGGATCCCCAGGGTGCCTCCCTCCCCCCTCTGTGTCCTTGGATCCGTGTCCTGGGAAGAGGGAGAAGGAAAGGGCTTCTCCCTCTGGCCTGCTCAGGGTGCCTGACCCAGATACCGCCCCCTCCTGCCCTGCCCCATGGGCCCAGTGTCTTGGTGGGGACAGAAGTTGGAAAGATGGACCACATCTCTTCGCCCCATGCTGAGGAACCTGGGTCAGGCAGGGAAGGTGGACTGTAATGTAACCAACTTCATCTCAAAGAACTGCTGGGCTCTCAGAACTGGCGTGGGGGCAGGAGGGGGCGGAAGGGGCTCCTGCCTGGCCGTGAGCTGAGATCACCCACTGAGCCCATCCGGCTTTGTCAGTTGAGGAATTTGATCCCTTCCAAATGGCAGCTCTGCTTGGGAGCTGATTGCCTGAATGGGGGCTTGGGGGGAGGGGTCTTTCTACAATAGTTCAGAGACAGACTTCACAAGCTCACAGGGGCAGAGGGAGTTGAGAGAGGAAGAGGGAGAACTGGCCTCTCCTGTCATACCCCCCACCTAGGTGTCCTGCCTACCTTTGTTGGAATCTCATAGCCTAGGCTATCCAGGCACCCTTGCTTGATTAACTGAACTTGACTTGGTTAACTCCTCCCACTGTGGTGTCTGCCCTGTAGCATAGCACTCTGTCTGAAGGTCTGTTTTCACAAACTGATCACACTCAGCTAGATTGTCACATTTCTCCCAGCCCCCAACTCCACTCATGCAGACATGACTCGAACACAAACAAAACTCCCCCAGCAGAAGCACAAACCAAGCAGTACATCTTCAACGTGACAGGAAGGGAGATAAGCATTGTACCGTGTGTCCAGGGGAACGGTCGTTTATTTGTTCACTTATGCTGTGGGCATAGCACTGCCCAAGTCGGCAGCCCCACGGGGTCTAGTTTTGGACCGAGACCCTGAGTGAGGGCTTCTCATCCTGGAAGGAGAGGAGCTGGGGGCTGATCGTGTATGTTCCTAATGGAGGCTCCACACCTTCGTGCTACCTCTGTCTCCCGCAGAAACCTGGGGAAGTCTGGTCTTCGAGTGTCCTGTCTTGGCCTAGGTGAGTCCGAAAAAAGATTGAAGGGAAGGGTGTTCTCTCACGGCTCGCATCCCACAGTTCTCACATACCTGGCTTCTCTCTTGCAGGTACCTGGGTCACATTTGGTTCTCAGATCTCGGATGAGGTATAAGTGATGGGACCTAGAAGCAGGGTGAGGGGCTAAGAGGGAACCAGAACGAGGGGAAATGGACTTGG